TTCTCGTATGGCAGACAGTGACAAAAGCAAACAAGCAGAGGTCAAGAAAGTTTTAGTGAGTGCGTTCAGTGTGACGCCGTCCAGAGCGTATGATTTGTTCAAGCGCCGTTGTTTGCGTGTGGATGAAAGTGTCGACGCGTATGTGGCCGATTTGCAGCGTTATGCAGCGCTGTCGGGGCACAAACCGGGTGGTACCGCCAGCAAGGATCCGATCTTGATCGAGCAACTGATCGCTGGCCTACAGCCCGAATTTGGCCGCCAGCTGAGAATGTCACTGGCTGGCCAAGAGCTGACGATACCTGCGTGTCTAGAGCGTGTGCGTGCGCTCAGAGCCAGTGAGACCGATGCTCGGTACACGAGCAGGTTCAGCCAGAGCGTTTCTGCTAGTGCCAGTACCAGTAGTTACAGTGGAGGTGTACACCGACCTCGCAGTACTGTTGTCTGCTATAATTGTAATCAGCCTGGGCATGTCCAGCGTAACTGCCCAGAGTTCAAGAAGAAGCAGAAGCCCCGTTTCAGTGGACCAGTAGTGTGCCACTTTTGTGGTCGGCCTGGTCATGCAAAGCCAGCGTGCCCTGAGAGAAGGAAGTGGCGAGAAGCCAAGGCAGCAGAACGTGTGGCGGCTGCTGGTACGTCGCATAGTAGCAGTGACAAGTGCCTGTGTGCGGTGTCCACTGAAGCTGCCCCCTTGCCGAGGATCTATGTGTACGTGGAGTCGGCCAAGCCGGATGACTGGTGCCGTGGAGAGGCCATGCTGGACACCGGGTCGGCTCGCACGCTAGTGTCGTCTGGCTTTATACGTGCGGCTAAGATGTGCAGCCAAGTGTCGGCGGTAAAGCAGGAGAAGCTCCTCGCCCTGGATGGCGAAGCCCTGCCGATTTCGGGGTCAATTTCACTAACGATTCGTCGTCTGGATGGACCCGTAAATTTGCCGCCTACCCGTGTTGTTGCGTTTGTAGTTCCTGAGCTGTCGGTTATTAATGCTGACCTGTTGCTGGGATCTGACCTTGTCCGTGCCATCGGTGGCGTCAGGTTGCAGTACTCTGAGTCAGGTGATCTGCGGTCCGTGTTGTTTGGTCCGTCACCCGCCAGTGACCCTGAGCCTGTGTCGTCTGTCGTTAGTGATGCTCTGCAGTCGCCGGATCAGCACCCGTCTCGGCATGTTAGTGTGGTGCAAGACGGTGAGGGTGTGACGCTATCTGTCGAGGATGGTCAGATAAAGTGGCTAGCAGCTGAGCAGTGTTGGCAGGCAGCATGGAGGTGGAAGGACGACAAGCCACCTACCGGACGCATCGGCAGCGGCATTGGGGAGTACCCCCGGAAACTTAGCGATGATCAGGAGAAGCTGTTCCAGCATGAAGTGGACTCCTGGATCGGTAACGGATGGCTCATCGAGCATGATGAAGAGGTACACGGAGCTCCTGCTGCAATTCTACCATGGCTTGCGGTCAGCCAGGAGCACAAGCCTACTACACCTGTTAGGCCTTGCCTCGACTACCGTGCGCTGAACCGTGCCCTCGTGTCTCAGCCCGGTATGGATGCCTCCGTGTGTGGCGAGAAGTTGCGTGAGTGGCGTACGCACGATGCCAACGAGTATGAGATGTTGGATATTCGAAAGGCCTATTTGCAAGTCCGGATGTCACCTGAGTTGCTGCGGTATCAGTGTGTGAAATGGAGGGGAAAGCTGTACGTGATGACCCGCATGGCTTTCGGGTTAAGTGTTGCACCGAAGTTCATGGACGTAATAGTCAAGTGGTGCACGCGAGATCATGATGGTGTTGACAATTACGTTGACGATCTGTACGTCCCGAAACCGCAGACAAAGGCTGTTGCGGATACCCTCGAGCGCTATGGCCTGCGTACGAAGCCAGCTGAGCCCGCCAATTCCGCCCGAGTACTTGGACTTCAGCTGTTCACTGGCCAAGATGGTCAAACCCGTTGGAAGCGTCGAGACGGAGTGAGTCTCGAGTGTGGCAAGCTGACCAAGCGTGGTGTATTCTCGTGGTGCGGCCGACTGGTATCGCACTATCCCGTGTGCTCGTGGCTGCGACCTGCCTGCAGCTTTCTGAAGCGCCTAGCGTGTCGTGATGGTGGTGGTTGGGATGATGACGTCCCCAATGATGTGGTAACCTGTTGTGCCGAACTAGCAAGTCGCGTCCAAGATGAGGATCCGGCCACAGGCGTGTGGAATGCGTCAGTGAACGAGCAGCAGCTCGCCGTGTGGTGCGATGCGTCTGATGTCGCATATGGCATTGTTGCCGAAGTTGGTGGTGAAGTCATGGAGGACAAGTCTTGGCTTCGCGATGCCGACGAGAAGAAGCATATCAACATCGCAGAATTGGAAGCAGTAATCCGTGGGTTGTCGACGGCAGTCGAATGGAACGCCAGCAACATCCGTCTTGTCACTGATTCCAAGACCGTGTACGGCTGGGTGAAGTCGTGCCTGAACAATGAGCGGCGTGTCAAGGTGTCCGGTCTGAACGAAGTGTTGGTTCGCCGACGACTAAACATCATCGACGACATTGTCGCGACCGCGAAGCTGTCCGTCACCATTGAGTGGGTACCGTCCCAGCAGAACAAGGCTGACAAGCTGACGCGTGTCCCAGATTTGTTCATCCGCTGCTGGAAGAAATCAGCCAAGCCAGATGTAGTTGCTGCCGTCTCTGCACCCCCGAAGATTGTGAGTGCTATTGTGTTACAGGACATTCTTGATGCGCAGAAGTCTGATCCTGTTGTTGTTAGTGTGATTGAGTCTGTGCGTCATGGTCGTGAGATTTCCGACCCGGTATTTAAGAAATTGAAGTCTCAGTTGTCTGTATCTGATGATGGTTACTTGTATCGTAGTGTGAAGGTACCGCCGAATGATGTGCGTGTTGTACCAGTTGTGTCTCAGTCATTGCAGCAGCGAGTGGTGTGTCGTGCCCATGCTGTGAGCGGTCATTCCAGTTGGGAGACCACATGGAAGCTGTTGCGTGCGAGTTGTTATTTTGCAAATATGGCTGTTGTTTGTCAGTCGTTGATTCAGTCGTGTGATGTGTGTGCTGCTGCTAATTCGAAGCGTGGGCCTGTTGCTGAGCCAACACGTCCAGTTATTCCATCTGGTCCGTGGAATGTAGTACAGCTCGATACCCTGGAGTTGGGCCCGAATAGAAGCCATCGGTATCATTGTGTTCTTGTCTGTACCGATATGTTTACGAAGTGGGTCGAGGTTGTCCCATTGGTTCGCCATGATGGTCCGTCTGTAGCAGCTGCGTTTGTGGATGTATGTTCCCGCTGGGGTGCCCCAGCAGTTGTATGTTGTGACAATGGAACAGAATTTGTCAATCAGGTAGTTTCCTCTTTGTATGATGCATTTGGTGTAGAGGTGCGACATGGCGCAGTGCGTCATCCGCAGAGTCAAGGTGGTGTAGAGCGTTTTAACCGGACTTTGCTGACTTTAATTCGCAAGATTGTGCACGAATCCGACGATTGGGTGTCTGCTTTGAATGTATTATTGTACTATTATCGTATTCGTCCCCACTCTGCCCTTGGTGTTTCCCCAAGTAAAGCCATGTGTGGCTGGGTTCCTCATGGCTTGATTGTGGACGATGAGCGTTGTGACATGTCCCCCAGTGCATGGGTTGATAGCTTGTGTAGTAAAGCGGCTGTTGTGCGAGACTACGTGGAAAGTGAATTGTCCTCTGCTGATTTTGTTCAGCCTGTTGGGTGTATGAACCCCTACAGTGTTGGTTCCACGGTGATGTTGCGGCAGGGAGATCGCCGCCAGAAGCGAACAGCGCCGTACGAGTCTGGATGGACAGTTGATAGTGTGGTGTCTCCGTCAACTGTTGTAATTGTTCGAGACACTAATGGTCGACATTCGGTGAAGACTGTCAATATTGATCTAATTAAGCCGTCAAGTGTGAGTGTGCCTGAGTATGATGATGCATGTGCTTCAAGTAGTAGTGATTCTGATTCTGATGTACCAGCCCAACCACTTCAAGTTGGTGGTCATCGTCTTCGCAACCGTGCTGGTCTCGTTCCTCCTGTTCGTTACCGTAGTTAACTGTTGACGTGATGTCACCAGGGGGAGGTGTGACAATATGACAATGTGTGTAGTGTGACGATACAATGTGTGTGTAGACAAACATTACGATTATGTATTTGTTGTGGTGACATCTGTCATCAGTGTGTCATGCCTCTTACCTCATTGTAGCTTCATCCGTAGTCCGCTTCCATTGTCCTTGTTCTATATTCTATTCTATTTCTTCTAGTGCTAGTCGTTTCACTTCTCATCTTTCCTTGAAGTAGTATATTTGAATTGTAATTGTTTTCCTGCAACGATCGCTCGTCGATCGTTGTGTTATTTATTTGTGTCTTGACTTCATTATTTATTTCGCCAGCGCCTGCAAGGCTGCATGCGCATGCTAGATTCTGTGTTCACGCGTGACTAATGATGTCATCGCTATGCCTTTGCTTGCTGCGCGTAGTCTTGTTGTTTTCTTTGCTTCGTTCGAGTTGCTGTTGCTCGACTTCGTTTTCTGATCTATTTTCTGCATTCAATGGTGGCCGTGATGGCTGTCGCTGCAATAGCAGCTTCAGCCACGACGGGCCTCTATCGGTTGCTCTGCCGCCATGTTGGACGCCATGTTTTAGACGTGTCTTTTCCTGGCCAAAGTGCTGGTGATTTTGTGTTCTTGTTGTTCTTTTCTTGTTCTCTCTCCTTTTCCTACTTGCATTTTTCGTGATTCATACATTTCCACCAAGAGGCTGCCGTTTGCGCTGGTGTGTTGTGTTGGGTGAAGAGGGGTGATAGAGAGACTAGATAGCTCCAGTTCTCCCACAAATTTGTGGTGCCGAAACCCGGGAAAGAGCCGGGAAAGAGTCGGGAAAGTGTTTTCGGAGTACGAGTGTCGTAGTGATTTATTTATTTTGTGAGACGAGAGTTCTTACTGTGAGTTCCTACTGTGAGTTCCTACTGTGTGTTCCTACTGTGTGTTCGTGGAATACTCGAGTGAATCATGTCTACCAAGTATCTTGTCCAGCCGTTTTCTGGCAAGGATGGTGAAGACCTAGAGGAATTCTGGGCAAAGTTTTTAGTTTTGGCCACTGCCAAGGAATGGTCCGACGAAGATGCACGCATGCAACATCTACCCTTATATTTGCAGGGCGATGCATTTCGAGTGTTTTCTCGTATGGCAGACAGTGACAAAAGCAAACAAGCAGAGGTCAAGAAAGTTTTAGTGAGTGCGTTCAGTGTGACGCCGTCCAGAGCGTATGATTTGTTCAAGCGCCGTTGTTTGCGTGTGGATGAAAGTGTCGACACGTATGTGGAAGATTTGCAGCGTTATGCAGCGCTGTCGGGGCACAAACCGGGTGGTACCGCCAGCAAGGATCCGATCTTGATCGAGCAACTGATCGCTGGCCTACAGCCCGAATTTGGCCGCCAGCTGAGAATGTCACTGGCTGGCCAAGAGCTGACGATACCTGCGTGTCTAGAGCGTGTGCGTGCGCTCAGAGCCAGTGAGACCGATGCTCGGTACACGAGCAGGTTCAGCCAGAGCGTTTCTGCTAGTGCCAGTACCAGTAGTTACAGTGGAGGTGTACACCGACCTCGCAGTACTGTTGTCTGCTATAATTGTAATCAGCCTGGGCATGTCCAGCGTAACTGCCCAGAGTTCAAGAAGAAGCAGAAGCCCCGTTTCAGTGGACCAGTAGTGTGCCACTTTTGTGATCAGCCTGGTCATGCAAAGCCAGCGTGCCCTGAGAGAAGGAAGTGGCGAGAAGCCAAGGCAGCAGAACGTGTGGCGGCTGCTGGTACGTCGCATAGTAGCAGTGACAAGTGCCTGTGCGCGGTGTCCACTGAAGCTGCCCCCTTGCCGAGGATCTATGTGGACGTGGAGTCGGCCAAGCCGGATGACTGGTGCCGTGGAGAGGCCATGCTGGACACCGGGTCGGCTCGCACGCTAGTGTCGTCTGGCTTTATACGTGCGGCTAAGATGTGCAGCCAAGTGTCGGCGGTAAAGCAGGAGAAGCTCCTCGCCCTGGATGGCGAAGCCCTGCCGATTTCGGGGTCAATTTCACTAACGATTCGTCGTCTGGATGGACCCGTAAATTTGCCGCCTACCCGTGTTGTTGCGTTTGTAGTTCCTGAGCTGTCGGTTATTAATGCTGACCTGTTGCTGGGATCTGACCTTGTCCGTGCCATCGGTGGCGTCAGGTTGCAGTACTCTGAGTCAGGTGATCTGCGGTCCGTGTTGTTTGGTCCGTCACCCGCCAGTGACCCTGAGCCTGTGTCGTCTGTCGTTAGTGATGCTCTGCAGTCGCCGGATCAGCACCCGTCTCGGCATGTTAGTGTGGTGCAAGACGGTGAGGGTGTGACGCTATCTGTCGAGGATGGTCAGATAAAGTGGCTAGCAGCTGAGCAGTGTTGGCAGGCAGCATGGAGGTGGAAGGACGACAAGCCACCTACCGGACGCATCGGCAGCGGCATTGGGGAGTACCCCCGGAAACTTAGCGATGATCAGGAGAAGCTGTTCCAGCATGAAGTGGACTCCTGGATCGGTAACGGATGGCTCATCGAGCATGATGAAGAGGTACACGGAGCTCCTGCTGCAATTCTACCATGGCTTGCGGTCAGCCAGGAGCACAAGCCTACTACACCTGTTAGGCCTTGCCTCGACTACCGTGCGCTGAACCGTGCCCTCGTGTCTCAGCCCGGTATGGATGCCTCCGTGTGTGGCGAGAAGTTGCGTGAGTGGCGTACGCACGATGCCAACGAGTATGAGATGTTGGATATTCGAAAGGCCTATTTGCAAGTCCGGATGTCACCTGAGTTGCTGCGGTATCAGTGTGTGAAATGGAGGGGAAAGCTGTACGTGATGACCCGCATGGCTTTCGGGTTAAGTGTTGCACCGAAGTTCATGGACGTAATAGTCAAGTGGTGCACGCGAGATCATGATGGTGTTGACAATTACGTTGACGATCTGTACGTCCCGAAACCGCAGACAAAGGCTGTTGCGGATACCCTCGAGCGCTATGGCCTGCGTACGAAGCCAGCTGAGCCCGCCAATTCCGCCCGAGTACTTGGACTTCAGCTGTTCACTGGCCAAGATGGTCAAACCCGTTGGAAGCGTCGAGACGGAGTGAGTCTCGAGTGTGGCAAGCTGACCAAGCGTGGTGTATTCTCGTGGTGCGGCCGACTGGTATCGCACTATCCCGTGTGCTCGTGGCTGCGACCTGCCTGCAGCTTTCTGAAGCGCCTAGCGTGTCGTGATGGTGGTGGTTGGGATGATGACGTCCCCAATGATGTGGTAACCTGTTGTGCCGAACTAGCAAGTCGCGTCCAAGATGAGGATCCGGCCACAGGCGTGTGGAATGCGTCAGTGAACGAGCAGCAGCTCACCGTGTGGTGCGATGCGTCTGATGTCGCATATGGCATTGTTGCCGAAGTTGGTGGTGAAGTCATGGAGGACAAGTCTTGGCTTCGCGATGCCGACGAGAAGAAGCATATCAACATCGCAGAATTGGAAGCAGTAATCCGTGGGTTGTCGACGGCAGTCGAATGGAACGCCAGCAACATCCGTCTTGTCACTGATTCCAAGACCGTGTACGGCTGGGTGAAGTCGTGCCTGAACAATGAGCGGCGTGTCAAGGTGTCCGGTCTGAACGAAGTGTTAGTTCGCCGACGACTAAACATCATCGACGACATTGTCGCGACCGCGAAGCTGTCCGTCACCATTGAGTGGGTACTGTCCCAGCAGAACAAGGCTGACAAGCTGACGCGTGTCCCAGATTTGTTCATCCGCTGCTGGAAGAAATCAGCCAAGCCAGATGTAGTTGCTGCCGTCTCTGCACCCCCGAAGATTGTGAGTGCTATTGTGTTACAGGACATTCTTGATGCGCAGAAGTCTGATCCTGTTGTTGTTAGTGTGATTGAGTCTGTGCGTCATGGTCGTGAGATTTCCGACCCGGTATTTAAGAAATTGAAGTCTCAGTTGTCTGTATCTGATGATGGTTACTTGTATCGTAGTGTGAAGGTACCGCCGAATGATGTGCGTGTTGTACCAGTTGTGTCTCAGTCATTGCAGCAGCGAGTGGTGTGTCGTGCCCATGCTGTGAGCGGTCATTCCAGTTGGGAGACCACATGGAAGCTGTTGCGTGCGAGTTGTTATTTTGCAAATATGGCTGTTGTTTGTCAGTCGTTGATTCAGTCGTGTGATGTGTGTGCTGCTGCTAATTCGAAGCGTGGGCCTGTTGCTGAGCCAACACGTCCAGTTATTCCATCTGGTCCGTGGAATGTAGTACAGCTCGATACCCTGGAGTTGGGCCCGAATAGAAGCCATCGGTATCATTGTGTTCTTGTCTGTACCGATATGTTTACGAAGTGGGTCGAGGTTGTCCCATTGGTTCGCCATGATGGTCCGTCTGTAGCAGCTGCGTTTGTGGATGTATGTTCCCGCTGGGGTGCCCCAGCAGTTGTATGTTGTGACAATGGAACAGAATTTGTCAATCAGGTAGTTTCCTCTTTGTATGATGCATTTGGTGTGGAGGTGCGACATGGCGCAGTGCGTCATCCGCAGAGTCAAGGTGGTGTAGAGCGTTTTAACCGGACTTTGCTGACTTTAATTCGCAAGATTGTGCACGAATCCGACGATTGGGTGTCTGCTTTGAATGTATTATTGTACTATTATCGTATTCGTCCCCACTCTGCGCTTGGTGTTTCCCCAAGTAAAGCCATGTGTGGCTGGGTTCCTCATGGCTTGATTGTGGACGATGAGCGTTGTGACATGTCCCCCAGTGCATGGGTTGATAGCTTGTGTAGTAAAGCGGCTGTTGTGCGAGACTACGTGGAAAGTGAATTGTCCTCTGCTGATTTTGTTCAGCCTGTTGGGTGTATGAACCCCTACAGTGTTGGTTCCACGGTGATGTTGCGGCAGGGAGATCGCCGCCAGAAGCGAACAGCGCCGTACGAGTCTGGATGGACAGTTGATAGTGTGGTGTCTCCGTCAACTGTTGTAATTGTTCGAGACACTAATGGTCGACATTCGGTGAAGACTGTCAATATTGATCTAATTAAGCCGTCAAGTGTGAGTGTGCCTGAGTATGATGATGCATGTGCTTCAAGTAGTAGTGATTCTGATTCTGATGTACCAGCCCAACCACTTCAAGTTGGTGGTCATCGTCTTCGCAACCGTGCTGGTCTCGTTCCTCCTGTTCGTTACCGTAGTTAACTATTGACGTGATGTCACCAGGGGGAGGTGTGACAATATGACAATGTGTGTAGTGTGACGATACAATGTGTGTGTAGACAAACATTACGATTATGTATTTGTTGTGGTGACATCTGTCATCAGTGTGTCATGCCTCTTACCTCATTGTAGCTTCATCCGTAGTCCGCTTCCATTGTCCTTGTTCTATATTCTATTCTATTTCTTCTAGTGCTAGTCGTTTCACTTCTGATCTTTCCTTGAAGTAGTATATTTGAATTGTAATTGTTTTCCTGCAACGATCGCTCGTCGATCGTTGTGTTATTTATTTGTGTCTTGACTTCATTATTTATTTCGCCAGCGCCTGCAAGGCTGCATGCGCATGCTAGATTCTGTGTTCACGCGTGACTAATGATGTCATCGCTATGCCTTTGCTTGCTGCGCGTAGTCTTGTTGTTTTCTTTGCTTCGTTCGAGTTGCTGTTGCTCGACTTCGTTTTCTGATCTATTTTCTGCATTCAATGGTGGCCGTGATGGCTGTCGCTGCAATAGCAGCTTCAGCCACGACGGGCCTCTATCGGTTGCTCTGCCGCCATGTTGGACGCCATGTTTTAGACGTGTCTTTTCCTGGCCAAAGTGCTGGTGATTTTGTGTTCTTGTTGTTCTTTTCTTGTTCTCTCTCCTTTTCCTACTTGCATTTTTCGTGATTCATACATTTCCACCAAGAGGCTGCCGTTTGCGCTGGTGTGTTGTGTTGGGTGAAGAGGGGTGATAGAGAGACTAGATAGCTCCAGTTCTCCCACAACGATGCACTCCGCGAGCAGTCACGAACTGTTTGCTATACACATGCACATGTGTGGTGATTCGTGACAGGTCATGGGGCATTGTGACTGGTAAACTAATTTTTGACTGGTCATGGGGGGTTTCTGACTGTTTGACTGGTCACGGGGACCGTGATTGGTCATGGGGTCTTGACTGGTCACTGAGTCCTACATATATGTGCCAGAAGTCCTGGTATTAATGACACTTAGGATTTGAAGACCTTCCCAAACTCCAAAAAAAAACATTGGACACCAAGTGAAGACAAAGTGTAGAGCATGCAGATTCTTCAAGCTTGTACCTGTTGCATTGTAGTCTATTGCCTGTGTCACTGTAGCTTGGTGTGTTCAAAGCTGTACAGTAATAAGACTAGTATCCTTTGCATGTGAAGTTCGAACCTACCTTTTTCAGAATCTTTCCTTTTTTCTTTACTTTCTTCCAATACATGTCTTCTGATTGGCCGAATCTGTGCCATCTCTCTATCTCCTGATTGGTCTAAACCGTTGCTCGTTGTTATGTGAAACCTGAACTCTCTTAGTTTTGGCACATATAAAAGGCTCTGTCTCTGAATAAAGATCACCCTTCATTTCTTCAACCACTTCTCCTTGCTCTGGTGAGACTTGTTGGTTGTTGTGTGCCCAACCACTTGGGCCACGCTACAAAAGCTTAGCAGATGCGCACGTAATACAAGAAGAATGAGCCCTTGTGTTCAAATTAGAAGATCCAGAAAAGAAGAAATAACTGATCTATGTATCTCATGTCATTTCGTCATTTTATCATGCAACACGAATTTTCATATACTTCAATGATGTACATAGAACTCTCCTCCTCCATGCGCTCTAAAGCCGACCATTGCTACCCTCGAATACATTTTCTCACCTGCTATCTTAGGATTTTCAGAAGAATCCACGAAACTTACTTTCTCTTATGTAGTTCTTGACCTCTATGTCTGCATCGAAGTGGTAGTAAGCTGTCATGAAATTCCTTGGGGCTACTAATTCACACAAACGGTGATCCAGGCGTAGATTCTTGAGGAGGTACATTATACTGGACATGGATCAAATAGTATTTTAGAAAAGCAATCATGAAGAGTAATCAGGTCATGTCTTTCAGTATAAACATTAATACCATTTACCCCAGTTAAGTATCTGGGACTGACTCTCAATTCAACTTTAAGTTTCAGTGCCCACTTTAACTCCCTCGGGAAAGATATCAGAAAGAAACTAGGTGCTTGTTGACGTAGAAGGAAGAAACTTGCTGTCCAGGCCGGAAGGCAGTTCTACTTGTCAGTAGTCCAGAGCAAGCTCGAGTACACCAGCACTGCCTACGCCCACTGCTCGCTGACAACGTGAGAAATCAGCTGTTACGCATAAATAAGAGAGCAATTAGATGCATATTTGAGCATGACACATTCACACGGACATCATACTTGCTTGAGCGATACCACATAATTAGCTTAGACAAAAGGTACTAAGTCCATATTCTTTGTGTTCCGTTTCATCCACAATATCTGCAGTTCACTCCTCTCTGACATGTTCTCCTTTCGCCATGACGGCGCTCACACAGATAGAGTCACCCGCGGCCAAGTCAATTATTCCCTTTCCTTACCCATTGTGAAAGCTCAAGCTTGATACAAATCTCTTTCATTCCTTGGTGCTGACCGCTTTAATGCGCCTCCCGAATCCCTTCGCACAAATCATACCCCCAATTCATTTCGCCAGGAACTTGACAAATTCATTCATCTTGGGCACCCTGTAAGAAGACCTTAGGGTCTGTTGGGAATGCCCAAGTAAAAATAAAATACAATACCCTTCCAAGTTGATTGATCCAACGATGAACACATGCTTCTTGCCGAACTTGACACTTGACTGACTCACGACTTCCATCCGGAGCACACAAGCATGATTATTGTGAGCAGAGAGTGGTGCTTTCTTGCAGGTGCTCCTCGCATGCTCCGGAGACCGGATGGTAGCAGTGAGTCAGTCAAGTGTCAAGTTCGGCAAGAAGAAGAGCGAAGAGTTTTCTAAGAGCTTTGCTCGCGTATTGATAGCGACAAATACTGTCACAAATGGGGGGCCGAGGTCAAGAAAATTGCCCAGATCAGCAAGAAGTGAGCGACCAACACGATCCTGGTTGATGATTGTGGAGATGCAGCTTTTGATTCTTCTAAAGCAGAAGCACTGGCCCGTTGCTTCAAAATCCAGTTCTCTCCAAATCCGTCATTTGACCCGTGTGCTACCACCCTAGTGCCAGCACAATTTACACCAGATCTCCAGTTTCAATTGCCAAACATAACCCAGCACGAACATTTCCGCAAGCTGCACACTCTGCCCAAGCACAAGTCTGTGGGTGGAGATATCACAAACGTCATACTGAGAGAAGTGGCATCCATGATAATGCAGTCCCTGTGCCACCTCTTCAACACCAGTCTCCGCCTCGGGCAGCTACCTAGTGACTGGAAGTTGGCTACAGTCATACCTATCTACAAAGAGAACGGCAAACCTGCGGATCCAACTAGTTACATTCATATCTCCCTGCTGCCGGCCATAGCTAAGATTCTGGACGCCATCATTGCCGAGCACCTCACAAGCCTAATGAATAGGCAGGGATTAATTACCAACCACCAGTATGTCTTTGTCTCCTGCAAGTAGACACTCGATCAGCTAATTGTCCTGTCTTCAAGAGTGGCTAAAGCACTCGACAAGCGCACTGACTACCACGCTCTATTCTTGGATTTCGCAAACACGTTTGACAAGGTACTGCACTATCATATCCCCTGAAGTCGTTTCTCGGTTCACCAACTACCTCAGAGACCGTTCCTCCTGTGTCAAAGTTCTCTCTGCCAAGTCGCCGACCCACCCAGTTTTTGCAGCCGTTCCCCAGGATCTCACCTTGGCCCCATTCTTTTCATTCTCTACATTAATGCCCTTCCTCGCACCATATCGTCTGATGTCACCACTGATGTGCTCTTTTTTGCCGATGACACTACTCTTGGGAGAGCAGCCGGAGGACCTAACCAACAACAAATGGCCCACCCCTCCAGGCTGCCACTGATGGCGTTCTGCAGTGGGCTTATTCACTCGGAGGGTGCTTCAACCCTTCGAAGTCTTTCACCTTGCAGTTCTCTCCTACAAGTCGTGCAGAAGGTACCCACCCTACTCATCTGACTCGGCACCTGAGAATGCAGGGAGATCACGTGTCTGATGTAACGACCCACCGACATCTTGGAGCCATCTTGGAGTCTAACCTCGACTTCACCAACCACGTCGCCACCATCACGACAAAGTTTCGTCAGCGAGCGGTCCTGCTGATCCACATGACCAAGCGTATCACCCCAGCCGTTGCCAGCCGCTTGTACACTGGATATGTTCGACCAGTGGTTGAATACGCCTCATTCCTTTGGCAATTTCAACTCTCCAGTGCTCAGGCTACTACCCTTGAACGGCTACAGGCAAGAGTGGCACGTATGATCCTACGGCAGTATGGCGTGTACCCTCCTCAAACGGAGCCGAAAGCCTCACTTTTAGCGCACCTCCAGTGGCCCAGCCTCGCATGGCGAAGACACATTCAGTGCCATCTTGAGCTCCACCACCTTATCAATAGCCAGATGACGACCCTGAAGGACCTAGGCTACTCAGTGTCAAACAGCGCCAGGCGCCCCCAACATCTTCTCCCACCTGCTAGAGCCAGCACACACACCAGTGCCACCTTTCTCTTTGTCACCACTGCCACATGGAACTCCCTCCCGGCTGCCATTCAAACTGTATCCAGCCCAACATGTTTTACCGCTCTGAGCCCTCTGATTTCATCCCACGTAGAGTAGCGATGTCATAGAGCACTGTGCTATATTACTACCACCCGCATCATTCTATTTCCTATTTTTATTTTTCTCCTCGGCTTCTTCTTCATAAGCTGTTGACGGAGACTCTCTTGATTTAGGCAATGGGCTGTGGAGAATCCATACAAATACAAGAAAAGAAAAGAAAAATAGCGTGTGTTCCTAATTGGATCAATGAACTTCATGACTATTACCGCCGAAGTCGGAATTTCTAAGTTCGTATTGTTGTCCCTCACACAGACGTGCGACTAGTTGTTGGAGGTGACTGAATAGCTATACTGGCTCTCAACGTCTGTTTAGCACAACTCCATGAGCGATTCACACTGCTACCTAGGGCTTCACGAGGTGTTTGTCGCGCTGGAAACAAA